AAAAAAAAAAAAAAAAAAAAAAAAAAAGAATCTACGATATACCAAGAGAACACACAGTATCCAAGATAACAGAACGATAATTCATCTTTTGCCTCAAGAATTCACAGGGTGGTACTGGAATACTTGGAAGCACTGAATAAGATAACATAGGTTGGTTATGTGACAAAAATATCATATAATGACTTTCAAAGGACAACCACACCTGTATCAGCACACATGCACACATACACACACATGTAATGTGCAGAGAAGAACTGGTCAGCACCCATCAGTCTTTTCATTGGAAGATAAACTTCTATGGACTCAATTTCTGATATAAAGATGATAAAAATGCCAATAAAATACATAATGCATTTACTAATTGGAAAAAGCATGTCAAAAGTGCCTGTGGTGTTATCTTGTTATAGGTGACATCGTCTTTCACAGTGGTCCACCTGGTGACCGCGGACCTCCAGGCCCACTAGGGTCTCCAGGATTCCCAGGAGCTGATGGACCCAAAGGTTGGTTCAAGTAACAGTGTTGTTCTGTTAGACTAAGCCATCACTCTCACTAGCTTTTCCCTCCTGAGTAATCCAAAACAGCCACCGGTTAGGGATAATCTCTTTTCCAAAAGAATTAGCACGCATCTAAAAATCAGTGATTCACTTAGCATACCAAAAGGTGCTAGTCTAAGTTGAGAAGCAAAATCCTGAAATAGTCAATGTGTTACGCTAGTTTCTTGAAATTTGTGGGGCTGGAGAAACAGCTCAGAGACATGAGCACCTACCCGGCAAGCACAAGGAACAGAGTTCAATCCCCAGCCCCACAGGCTGTGTGCTCTCTGAACCGGGTGTGGTGGCACATGACCATAATTCCCAGTACTTGGGAGGTTGAGCCAGGAGGATCTCTGTGAGTTCAAGACCAGCCTGGGGGCTACAAAAGTGAGCACAAGGCCAGCCCAAACTGCATAATGAGAACATGTCTCCAAAGAAAGAGAGAAAGAAATTTGCTCTATCAGAAATGTGCATCTCAAAACAAAAAACTAATCAGGTTTTTTTTTTAATTAGTAGTAAATATAGTGTCCTAGGTGATTCTCACTGCATTTAAAAAAAAAAAAAAACCTTAAGCATAACAAATAATTTGATGAAAATATTTGCTCTCCTGAGGACTTGGCGTGTTTATAAGTAACACACACTCTCTCATTGCAGGAGAGCCAGGCCTTCTGTGTGTACAGTGCCCTCGCATTCCTGGGTCTCCAGGTCTCCCAGGATCACCAGGGCTAGATGGTGTCAAAGGAATCCCAGGTACGGACAATGTGCCCCCAAGTTTGTGTTTTTGCAAGAAGAGTAAACTCACCTGGAAATTTTTTAAATGGTATAAGCTGATAGATGTCCTGATAAAGCTGGAGGGAGAGATTTAAAAACATACTCTGGTAAAATAAAGTAAAATAAGGTTGGAATTGAACGCAGGCATTCTCCTCTGAGGCATGTTCTAGCCCACCATCGTTGCCTGCTGCACGGCCACCTACCTCCTGCGGAGTTGTCCTTTGAGGGGACTCAACCCAAAGCCTCCTGCAGGCACGATAATCGAATTCTCATTCGCCCTGGCTGGTCCTTCTGGAGGCTGAGTCTCAGGACAAAACAGAAGAGTTGCTGGTGTCAGCTGAGGCACCGAGCAGTCGTCCAGTGGAGGAGGTCGTGCAGGGATCCTTGGCGACCGCTAAGTCCCACCCACTTCTCCTTAGGAAGGCCTCGCCTGGCCCACGGTGGCTGCTGCTGCCTCCTCGGCTTCCAGGGAAGAGTTAGGAAGGGTGGGCGGACAGCATCTAGGCCACACCCGTGTCTCCTAGGGGTGGAGGGGGGACATAAAAGCAAGGAGGCGGGGGAAAGGATAAAAGATTTGAAATGTCTGTGTATTCCTACATTTCCCTTGAGGCTCACCTCTGGCCCGAGGGGCTGCCTTACGCTATTTAGTTACTACACAGTTGACACTGACAGGTAAAACTCAAGGAGGTTAAGCATCAGCACAATGCTTTGGGGCCGGCATGGCACACATACTGGGTATCGAACCCGGGTCCATGAGCTTGCCAGGAAGGCGCTTAGACCACCGAGCTATCTCCCCAGCCCAGAATTGGCTTCCTTCATTCCTAAGAAACATCCAGTTTTCTTCACACACTGTATCATTCCAGTTGCTCAGAGTTGGGGTCCACAGCTGATAATGCTTTGCTTTGCAGGAAGACAAGGTACAGCTGGCGCGAAAGGAAGCCCAGGGTCCCCCGGAAGCGCAGGTGTCCCAGGATTTCCAGTAAGATTTCACGGTTCTGTAGCTCTAGTTTCATTTAAAAAGCTGAACACCCTGAAAATAAGGCCACACCTCACAGAGATTATCACTTTGTGTGGCAAACAGTAAGTGTTGTTGATGAAGTGGATGAATAAGGCATGAATTTATAAATCTTTTTAAATGGTATCAAAGACAAAATGCAGATGAGTCATGTATTGTCCAGGGCCAAAAGGTAGGAATAGGGATTGACAGGAAGAGGGGAATGATAGTGATGTGTGTGTGTGTGTGTGTTTAACAATGTGGTGATTGTGGCATAATTCTGTAAATTTATTACAAATCATTAAATTGTACTCTTACAAAGGATAGATTTTAGGGCATGTAAATTATACCTCAATAAAATAAAAATTTTTTAAAACATTATTATAGTTAATCAAAAGTTATTTATCTATAAACATATATACATTAAATTGTTCAGAGATGAATGTTAAAATATACCAATAATCAACTATCTGAATGATGATTGTATCACACTGGATTTTACTATTGTGCTTATCGTATCATATTATACTAAGTTGGGGTTTTTTTTTCCAGTTTTGGAAGTTAAAAATAAAGTAAAATGAACAAAAAGCTTGAAATGGTATTTGGGAACCAAAGAACCATGTGTAAAACACAATCCATGCCCACTGAAATTGAGCAGTTCTCAGAGATACTGTTTTAAAACTGACACAGGATGACTACCAGAGCACAACCTAGACTCCTTTCTGTACCGCTCCAGGGATTCCCAGGTGTTCAGGGAGCCCCAGGACCTAAAGGCCGGAAAGGTGAAACACTGCCGCCCCAGGGGCAAGTGGGGGCCCCGGGGGACCCTGGGCTCCAAGGGCCACCCGGGAGAAAGGGCCTGGACGGAACTCCTGGAACTCCGGGAGCAAAAGGATTACCCGGACCTAGAGGCAGACCGGTTGGTATTCAGCATGTTTAACCAAGTTACTCTCCTTACACATGAAGTGCTTAGAAGTCAAAGAAATTTACTTCCAAGAGATCGTTCAAATTCATACTACCTTGTGCAGTGAAAGTCTGCATCACTTGTGATTTTTTTCTGTTTTAATTCTGATTTGTATTCTCTTTAAAAAATAATAATTTTTAAAAAAATTTTAAAAGGTGGCTCATCATGCTAGAGGCAGCATGAGCCATCTGCAGATTGGCAGCGGTTACCCCAGCAAACATTTATATCAAACGACTTTATCAAGAAGCTGAGAAAAAAAATGATGAATAGAGGAAATTTTTAGTCAATATTTTGAGGCGATCTTTATTTCTCAAGTAACCATAAATGCAGAAATGTGAAAAAGAATATTGCATTCAAAGATGGCAAATGTTTTGCTATTTTTAAAATGTCAATGCAAAAAAATAACCAAAAAAATTTTAGCTTATGTAAGTTTGATTCTTCTCAGGGTTAAAATTTCTCCCATGTTCAAGTAAGAGTTAATATCTACCACTGCTGTTTTTAAATGTTATGGAGTGAAAAGCTAAATACCCCTCCCAATGGATCTGTGAGATGTTTGCCTCAGTTACTCTATAAGTACCAGTTTCTCCCAAGGTTAATCAGATTTAGCTAATAAAGAGTCTCAGCTTGAACAGATTGGGGAAACATGGTAAATAAATTATCAGGGTCATTTCCATACCCCTTAATATCATAATATCAATGTGACTCTCCAGCACATATGAATGTATGATCTCTGGTAAGCAGGGCGCATCTACAGGATCAGGGTTTCTCAGCTTCAACTGGGACAGACCATGGTCGGTCCACTCTGCTGGCCTTGCTTCAATGAGGCCACTGTGTAGAATTCTGATCTAGTATTCCTCGTATTCCTATGGCTCCCCTCTTTGCATCTCACTAAATTTCCTTTTTGAAGTTCTGGTAAAGATGCTCCAGGAACAAGTAAGAGAAAGTTTAAGAGGTTATTTCTTGACTCAAGTATTGTCATTAGTTTTAAAAAAGGAAAAATACCATTTAGCTGCCCAATGATATTGGACACTGAAGACCTCAGCCCAATTGGTTTGTGAAGGCCATATTTTGCAGGAAGACATCTTTGTTTGTGCTGTCAGTCTGAACTTCTTTCACATGTAGGACTCGGGGATGAGGAGATAGCTCCGCAGACTAAAGCACCTGCTTAGGCAAGCTTAGGCAAGTGCAGGGACTGCAATTTGATCCCCGGCGCCACATGTCATGCCAGCTCCACCTCCAGGGCAGGCTGAGCCGGCCAGAGTTCAAGCATAGTGGTGCAAACCTGTAATCCCAGCTGTGGGGAGGTTGAAAGCAGGAGGATCACCACAAGTCCAAGCTGCATAGTGAGACCCTGCAACAACCAAATGCATTTTTTTTTGTTTTTGTTTTTGTTTTTTGCCGAACCGGGGATTGAACTCAGGCCCTTGCACTTGCTAGGGAAGCACTTATTCTACTGAGCCATCTCCCCGGCCCCTCCAAATGCATTTTAAAAAAAAGAAAATTATAGAACTCACTTTCAAAGTTAAGTATATGAATGTTTTTAAATTAGACACTTTATGAGAAAAAATTAATATCGGTAGAATATCGCCTTTGTAATAAAGATACCTGGTGGAAACTGCGAACTATGTAAATAAAGGCTTGCTGCCTTGGTTTTACTTTAGAAATATACCAGTGGCATAAATGTTACCTGAAAAGCCATTTGAACTGTTGATCAATTTGAACTTATTTTAGTGGCTAATATAATAGTGGTGACATGTCCTTGTAGGGCATCTTAAGTGGGACTCAAGGGACTGGGGAGATAGCTCAGCAGTCTAAGGGCCTGCCTGGCAAGCAAAAGGACCCAGGTTTGGTCCCAGTACCACATGCTGTGCCAGCCCTACCCCAAGCGTGGTGGCACACTCCCGTATTCCCATCTCTGGAGAGGCTAAAAACAGGCAGATCGGTACGAATCTGAGCCACATAGCAAGACCCTGTGCCAAATATGTAAATTTTTTTAAAAATGGGACTCAAGACAGTTGGGATTCATACAATATTGTTGAATTCTAATATTACCCAAAGCAGCAGAAGCCAATAACACTCTTATTTTAATGATGATTCCAATCAAATGCTTTTTAATTCAAGAGCTTCTCAGTGACAGCCTAGTTGCTTCTCATATCAGCGTGAAATGAACCTGTAACAAGGAACCCTGGAATGCACCGTCAGGCAAATGTATTCCTATTGTCACAGGCCTTGAGTGGTGAGAAGGGGGACCAGGGTCCTCCAGGAGATCCGGGCCCCCCTGGATCCCCAGGACCTACAGGACCAGCTGGACCACCTGGCTATGGACCTCAGGGAGAGCCAGGTCCAAAGGGCACCCAAGGAGTTCCTGGAGCCCTGGGACTGCCTGGAGAAGCCGGTTGGTTAGTTTTCTTTCCAGTCCTGTTTTCCTATGGGTGGATGGTTCTCAGAGCTACCCGAGCTCCTCCAAGACTAAGGAATAGATGTCACTAACTTGTTTCTGACAAACAGAATGTCATCTCATAGACACTGGAATAGGACATGTAGTGTCAGAGAAAATCTACTTTTACTTATCACTGAGCAATTTAAACTAGGATTTCCTAGAATAGAATGTATCTGCACTTGTATCACTATATGAAAGTCAGATCGTGAGGGTAAAGCAGAAGTCAATTACGGTTCACCAAGGGGAAGCAACACCAAGAGCTCAATCTAATCTTGACAAGCCTAATAATACTATGGCAAATGTGTTCTTGGCATCTGTAACTCAGTAGGCATGTTATAATTAATACTTTTAAATGTCTAAAATAAAAGAAAAAAGTTGTCTGATAATAGTCTCAAAGTCCAGGCAACTTTTGTACCCACAGTACTGCCTAGTCCTGTCTTCAGAGGAAGTCACATCCTTAATCCTTGTGGCTGAGAAAATGGCAGAAGGTGAAACAGTGTGACACGGAGAATTTTGATAATATCACTTTTGTCTTTTGCTTACCTCTAAAGTCACTTTAAAGAGTGCAACCCAATAAATTCATAGTCTCCAAATCATGTTAGTATCATTTGTAAGAATTTTTGAGTATATACCTCTGTAGTATTCACATGTATGCTATAAATACATTATTTCTGTTCATGTATATATAAAGCTTGTTTTATAATTACATGTTACATAACTACTGTTATATATTGTTATACAATATATAATATATAGTGATCCATTATAATGTTATAATATATACTATATTAAATATATTAACTTTTTTATGCCTACTTTGGAGGCTGTTGTCTCAATCCAAGCTTACCAAACTAATCTCACAATCCAGTTCAGCCCACTAACTGGTTTGTATGGTCCATAAGTGAAAAGTTTTAAATTTTGAGATAATTTTAAATTTACAAGTATTTCTGATACATTAAAAATATATGAAACCAAAATATAACCCAAATTACAGCATCCATACCTAAATTTTATTGGCTTACAATATACTCACTCATTTATGATCTCTGGCTGGTTCCACACCCAGGATGTCAGAAATGGACCCTCAGAGCAAAGAGCGAGACCACAAAGTTTAGATCCTTTAGAGTGTGATCCTTTACATAAAGCATTTACTGACTCCTGTTCTAATCCCTCATCTACCTTTCTTCTGTTCTCTCTAAATGGGAATTTAATTTTCCCATCACAAAACCATATTTTTTCTGTAAACATATGACTAGATGAAGAAGACTCATGACTGTGGTAGTACAGTGCTGGGCCCTGAGGTCAGGACGTTGTCTTGAACCCTAACCTGCCAGACAGCTATCATTTTCCAAATGGCAGATGAAGAGGGATTAAGAAACCTGCCTAAACTCACCTATCTTTATTAGCAGCAGTTGCAAGCTTCAAAGCAATCTCAGCGTGTTAGGGCCCGCTACTGTTGTGTTCAATAGACCACATTGCCTTCCTCTGGCAGTTAGCCCCCCAAGGTACAAACCTCCCATCAGTATTCACCAACTTAATTTCATATTATGAATGTTTTGGAATATGCCCCTATTTGATACACTGGGTTGGGCTATTAATTAAAACAAGGCTCAGACAATAGCAGATGCTTGCAACTATTTATTGATTGAATGACAAGGTTTCTGTGGCTAGTCATCCCTAAGCTAGTTTTAAAGCCTGTGGAAAGGATTATTTTCATTTTATTTAGGATAAGTTTGTAAATTCCTTAAAATCGTACTTCCTTCCTGTTACCTAAGCTTCCTTATTCACCCTAATGTTATGATCACAAATTTTCCTAAGGTCCTAAGGGAGAACCCAGCATTTCGACACCCATCCTAGGGCCCCCAGGACCTCCAGGGCCCCCTGGCCATGCTGGCCCCCAAGGCCCTCCTGGTGAGTACCCCTTTGGCCAAGTTTGGTGCATGACAACAGACAGCACCCTATCATTCCTCGAAAAATACATCCATCATTCTAAAGAAAAAATACATTGATTGGCTCCAAAAGAAAACACAGCCCAAACCCCTGTCAGGTGAACAAGTAAGCAGGGAAGTTGCTGTTGTTCTCTGAGGTTATGCAATGCATCCTCCTGGTATTTCTGATATAAAACCTTCAAAGGAGAATCGATACAGAGAATAGGAACTCTCAAACAGAACAATCTTCGTGCATTTTTGGTGAGAAAGCCAACAATGCTTACCGTGGTTATCCAGACTATTTTCCATAACACATTCATTTGAAACTTAATTTTGGCTAATGTAATCTGAAATTTAACTTTGCATGTATTGAGGAAGACATATAGTTTAAGATAGTTAAAATACCTTTTAGAGTTAAAAGACTTTACACAACGTTTTCCAGCTCCTAATGTCTAGTTGTTGGGTAGGCATGAGTAGGAAGCATATACCTTTGGGATTATTTAAAATTGTTTCTTAATTTCCACAAAGGTGGGCTGACACTGAGAATTTAGACATTTTCTTTTAAGACAAATGAAGAAAAGTTGCTGATGTGTGTGTGTGGATGTGTTTTTAAGGTATCCCTGGATCCATGGGAAAATGCAGTTCTGGTTTTCCGGGACCTAAGGGAGAACCCGGAATTCCTGGAATTGGATTTCCTGGGCCTCCTGGACTGAAGGGTAAATTAAAATCTTTAAAAATGCAAGGTGCATTGTGGACATTTAGAAGTCATAAATACATATGGTGGATAAAAGAGACAATATCTACAATAGCTTTAAAACAATATTTCCCAAGATTCTTTAAAAACTTACAACAGTAGATGAAAAGACACAATTCATATTCATTTATGTAACCTGATTTCAATCATATTTTTTAATTCATAAAAAAACTGAAAGAAGATTCACCAAAGTGGTAAATAATAATTTGTTTTCTCAGTGGTGGGCACTGAGCCGGGAGCCTCATGAGTGCCAGGCAAGCACTCAATCACTGAGATGCATCCCCAGCCCAAAAAGGATTCTTCTTGTCTATTGCATTATCAGGATTCTTTTTCTTTAGTTCTGAACTTTTTTTTTCTTTCCTTGAATTTTTTTATTGGTACATTTTATATATACATAGTGATAGCATTTATCATAGGGGATTGTACCTTGCTTCAAGTTCTGAACTTTTTATGTGTATACTTTTCACTTTACACATTTCTTTTTTAATACAAAATGAACTATTATATCACAAAAGTGGGGTACAGCTGGTGGCAGAGCATGTGCTTAGTATGAGCCAAGACCTAGATTTAATACACACACACCCCAATATTTATTATAAAAGATTTTAAACTCTGTTGAGAAAAGCTACCACCTTAACGTGAGTCATACTTGCATGGACATGGACATGGACATAAAAATCCATTTAAGAAGACACGGGAAGGGCCGGCAAGATAGCTCAGCAGACTAAGCACCTGCTTAGGCAAGCACAGGGACCGAGGTTTGATCCCCCAAAACACTAGCTGCGCTGGCCCCACCCCCAGGAGCTCTGAGCCGGCCACGGAGACCAGCGTGGTGGTGCACACCTATAATCCCAGTGCTGGGGAGCCTGAAACAGCAGGATCAGTAGAAGTCAAAGCTGCATAGTGAGACCCTGTACCAACTATATAAATAGACTTCAAAATAAATATAATTAATAGGCAACTTGCATTGTGTTTTTTGTTTTTTTAAGACACGGTCTCTTTACCCAGTCCAGGCTGGCCTTGAACAGCCTTTCTCCTTTCTCAGCCTACCGAGATCTGGGATTACTGGAATGCACCACCACACGGCAGCTGCCTCAGTGGTTTGAAAAAGCACTAAATCACTATTGTAGCCACACTAAACAATATAAATGAAAAAATTGATTTGTAAATTTTGGAAATCCAACACAATTGGACTTGGAACTGAATATATTTTGTTTATCAGTTCATTTTGTCATCCTTCAAACTCACAAACATCTCTCACCCGCTGCCTAAATGGATTAGGCTCCTCAGAATCTTTGCATTTAGAATATGGAATATCCAACTTTTTAAAATTTTTTCTTAAATTTATTTATTTGGTACAGAGTCTCACTATACAGCTCAGACTTGTAGTGACCTTCCTGTCTCAGCCTCCCCAGTGCTGGGATCACAGGCATGCAACAACATGCTGGGTTTCAGGGGTCAACATGATGTGCTCAGGGTTCCTGGGCTGTCTCGGCATGTGGTACCAGGGACTGGACCTGGGTCTTGGCGCTTGCCAGGCAGGCATTTAGACTGCTGAGCTATGTCCCAAGCCCTGGAATATCCAATGTTTATTGTTTGCTTGTTTTTCTCTGTAGGAGACCAAGGTTTTCCGGGAGCAAAAGGATCCCCAGGTTGTCCTGGGAAAATGGGAGAGCCTGGATTGCCTGGAGAGCCAGGTTTCCCAGGAGCCAAGGTCTGCAGAAGGAAAACCCAACTGATTTGAGGGAGGGGGGAGAAGGGCAACCACGGGGGGTGGGGGGGAAGTTAGGATCCCAGCCAGGCGAGGTGCTCCCCGTGTAGAAATTACCAGTGTGCTCACAGATGGGGAAGAATGTAAATGTGTTTAAGTTTCTCTGGGCCACATTCCATTTTAGAAAGGTAATGTTAGAAGGGGCAAGTGTGCACCTCTTCCTTCCTTGATGGCTTCATGAACATCAGAGTGTATAAAATGGAAGAACTGCAGAAAAAGTGTGCGTACCCAGGAGAATGACCATGCAAAATAAAGAGTTGTAGATTTATTTACAGAAAATCCCATAGTCTTCTCAAAAGATAGAGGCTGCAAATCCTGAGACACCATTAAGCATAATTTCATAGCAAAGCAAGCACCCGGAGCTGAGGAGAAGGGACTATGGGTTGAGTGGCGGCGACGTGCAGAGGGACTTGGAGCATCCGTAGCAGAGGTTTTCCCAAGTGGCCCGAGGAGCACCGATCTCAGCGAAGACTTGCAGGCATCATGTGGTAAAACCAGCTTCGTTTCTATACTACAGGGAGAACCAGGATGGGCAAGACCCGGAGAACCAGGAACACCAGGATTTCCAGGATCAAGAGGCGATTCAGGGGAAACTGGAGGAATGGGCCTCCCCGGACTTCCAGGTCTTCCTGGAAAGCCAGGAAAACAAGGGCTTGATGGACCTCGAGGTACAGAAACAAGCACGGTGCGCTCTGCTGTGAGCTGCCCAAGATGCAGCACCCCGGCTGGGTGGGGCTCGCTGGATAAAGACTCCCCGAAAACCTTCTAGTTCTATGAATAGACTCTCTATGGACTAATTATTTTCCTAGTCCACGTGACTGCTGGACCTTCTTCTTTTTCTACTTTCTTTTTTTTCCCCTCCTATAACAGACACATGAATGAAATGAAATACCTGGTAGAGAAGAGATAGCAGCACTAGGGCCTTGGGTTTTGGTAAACAAACATAGTCTTGAATTCTCTTTTGCAGGAGATGCAGGGCAGCCCGGACCACCTGGAGTAAGAGGACCCCCAGGAATGTGCACGGAGGGGCCCAAGGGAGCCCAAGGACTTCCAGGCTTAAATGGATTAAAAGGACAGCCAGGTAGGAGTGCAGTATCTGAAGTGGGCAGGCGAGGGGGGCCTCTGTCTTTGCACTTTGCTGCTGAACACGGAAACAGTCCCGCATCAAACAAGTCCTGAGTGATGTTCAGTAAGAGATGCTATTCTGGAGCCCCTGAAACTTCCTAGTAAGGACTTTGCGTGCAGAGTACTGTACACCACCCATAAGGAAGGAGATCAGACGTCAGTATTTTGCACTGGTTTGTATCTTTTATTTAAGAAAATATGAACACCAAAGACAAATTAAGTACAGGTAATTTACATACGCATTTCTATACATAAGCTCCCAGACAATGTTTTTACTTTGACTCTTCCCATGAATATACTGAGGTGGTTGTTTTCTTACTATAAAATAGAGAAAATATAGGTGAAGATACGAGATTAGCAAGCTACAGAGTAAAGTATGTAGCTGATTGCTGTCTAAGCATCATACAGAAAAGGCATAAAGGGCCGGGGAGATGGCTCAGTAGAATAAGCGCTTGCCTGGCAAGCACAAGGGCCTGAGTTCAATCCCTGGTTCTGAAAAAAAGAAAAAAAAAAAAAAAGACGTAAAAGAAAGGGCAAAGAGCCAGCCAGATAGCTCAGCAGATTAAAGCACCTGCCTAGGCAGACACAGCAGACAAAGTGGCGGGGTTCAATCCCCTACAAGATCCATGTGCCATGCAACCCCCTCCCCCGGGGTGTGCTGAGAGGGGTACTGAGACTGGGCACGGTGGCATGCGCCTTTAATCCCAGCACTTGGGAGGCTGAAGACAGGAAGTACTATGAGTCCAATCTGTGCAGTGAGACCCTGTAGACCCTCTACTAAATACAGAGAGAGAGAGAGAGAGAGAGAGAGAGAGAGAGAGAGAGAGAGAAATTCTAAATGACACAGGTCAGACATTCCAGGTCATGTGGTCATGCGAGCTTTACTCTAGTTTTTTTGGCTCCTTTCAACTAGATCTGGTGACAATTCTAAGAGAAATGCCTTAAAACTTAGCTGATGTCAGCGAGCTAACATACTGCTTATTGGTTCACAAATAAATTTCCGGCAAGGATCCTCACTGGCATGTGGCCCTGCTATCTGCAGAGGCCTCCAGAAGTTGGTGTCCCCAAGTGGCCCTGCGTATCTTCCGTGGGTGAACAACTGATCCATAAGTCATGAGATGCAATTGCGGACGGTGCCTGCAGGAGATAGATATTGATGCTTTATCTTTGTTACCCTATGACTCATTGAAGGAGAACCTTAGAGCTAGGAGGGATTGGAGTAATTTCATGGGGGGGGGGGATGTTAAGCGCATGTGTGTGCGCACACACACATGATTTATCCCAAATCACATAGCCAAATATTACACAAAGAGAAAACATCTGTTTGTTAATTCATCCCCTTCATTTATTCACAGGCAGAAGAGGAGAAACAGGGACAAAGGGAGACCCAGGAATTCCAGGTTTGGCTAGGTCAGGGATCCCTGGAGAACCAGGACCACCAGGAATGCCAGGTTGGCATGGTGAGAAGGGACCACCTGGTCAAAAAGGACTTCCGGGAACTCCAGGATTTTCAGGGCTACCAGGTATCTTTTCTTGTGCTTTTATTTTGCCTTTTATATCATCTTCCATATTTTTCCTCTAAGTTCTGTAAACTGTCCATAGACATGGCCTTTTTTAAATTTTATTTTGTTTTGTTTTTACATATTTGTTACAAGGTCTCACTACACAGCTCAGACTCGTAGTAATCCTCCTGTTTTCAGCCTCCCCAGTGCTGGGGTTACGAGCATGCACCATCATGCCTGGTCTCTGTGGCCAGCTCAGCATGCCTGGGAGTGGGGGTGGCATTGGCATGGCATGTGGTACCAGGGATCAAACCCCGGTCCCTGCACTTGCTTAAGCAGGTGCTTAGTCCACTGAGCTATCTCGAGGGCCCTTGGCATAGGCTTTTGAGTCCAATGGTCATTATTTCATAATTGCATAGATGCATCTGTTTTATTATTTAATCCTTTTATGCCCTACTATACTATACTTGCTGCTATTTTACTGAGCTGTTTGCATTTCTGTTCACAGGGGACATTGTCTATAGTTTTTGATGTCTCTGTCTAGTTTTGGTATCAAGTCAGTGCTGGCCTCTCATGGGTTGTTCTTCTGCCCCAAGATTTCCTGGGAGAGTTTGTGAACAGCTGCTATTCCTTAAACATTTAGTAACTTCTGATACTGAAGTTTTCTGGTTTGGGATTTCTCTGTAGGAAGTCTTTAAAATACAAATACAATCTCTTCACTTGTTATAGTTCTGTTCCGATTTTTTATTTCTTCTTGAGTCAGATTTGATAGTCTGCTTCTCCAGGAATTTGTTTATTTTGCCTAAGTTATCTAACTTGTTGTCCATAATATTTCTTTATAATGTTCTTTACAGCATAGCTACTTTTATAGTTCACATATTAGGGAAGAAAATTCTAACCACTTGTTCATGACATAAGAACCTCAACTGATCTCTGGAGAGACTATTAACACATTATTCTTTCATCCATATTATTGGACTACTATCATATGCTAGCTAGGCCAGTCACTAAAGACGGATCAATAGATAAGAAGTACACAAATAATACTAAACTTTGTGGTACTGGGGATTGAACTCGGGACCTTAGGCTTGCCAGGCAGGCACTTATGCCCTTAAGCTATCTCCCTAGCCCTAAACATATTTTGAAATTAAGTTCAATTAGAGATAAGTGCATTGGAAAATCTACAATAAAGGAATTAATAAAAAGCAACTGGTCAGAGGTGATAGGATAAAATGCTCCCTAACTGCAGTTTATTTTATTCTCAAGCATAAACATGCTTTGCCAATGACTGCCAAATTGAAGAACTTAAAAAGACCATTTGCTGCTCCATCTCCTAGATAGATATGGTTATTTTCCTATTTACATAAATCATTCCTTCAACTCCCAGCTTCTAAGCATGTGCTGCTTTTGTTCCTTTGTTTCCAAAGGTGAAAAAGGAATGGTTGGGATGATGGGATATCCAGGGCCGGCCGGCCTTCCCGGGTCTCCAGGGAACCCAGGCCCCCAGGGGCACCAGGGTAAGTGACGGTGTCCAGACTCCAAGAGGCATCAACAGCATCCTCTTCCTTAGCAGCAAGATGAATTACATTTCATTCTTTGGCAGGAAAGTAGTTCTAAAAGAACAACATAATTGGTATTGCTGTTTTCTGCACTACTTTTTGCCATTTGAATGTAGTCCTATTTTCTCCTTGTCAGCTGCGTGTAGGTGGTTGGTGGCTTGGGGAAACTTTACAGTTCTCAGGACTGTTAGCCTTTGTTGTTGCTGTTTCATTAACTTTTGAAACCTATGAACTACTTAAAGAATTAGGAGCCTAATGTCATTGCTTCTGTCTGGTAGGCAGCCCTGGGATCCCAGGAGTAAAGGGTGACCAAGGGCCCCCAGGAGCCCAAGGGGAACAAGGAGAGAAAGGAACCCCAGGGCCTTCTCAGATAGCCCACTTAAAGGGAGACAAAGGAGAACCAGGACTCAAAGGTAAGGAATCTTTCACATTTAGAATCATAACATTGGACCTGGGTCCAAGACTAAGGGATGACCAGGCATGTCCTTTTAGGGCACAAGAGGACAGTGAAGGCCTGATTTAGTCACCTGCCCAAGGCACACAGCCAGTTTGGGGCTGAGTGTGGCCTAGGACCAAGCCTTCTGTGCCTTCTACAGCAATGTGTTTTCTCTTCAATGCCAGACTTTTTATTCCTAAACTAATTCTGTGTTTTGATCTGCTTTACTTAAATTGTCTCTAGTAAACTGCTAAACTGTAAGCCTCAAATTTTCCTCTCCCTTCTCCCATGGACAAAATGAAACTCTTCAAAAGTCCCACATAGGGCTAGAGGGATAGCTCTGAAGACTAAAGCACCTTAGGCAAGCGTAGGCAAATGTGCAGGGACCGTGGTTCAACCCCCAGTGCCGGGGGCTGAGCAGGCCACAAAAAAGGGTCCCACATGAAGAACGTGTTTGGTAGAAACATGAACCTCCACCCTAAATTCTCTTGTATTCTGTCAACCACCAGGATGGAGTTTTCTGAGTACATCTACGAACTTCTCATGCTCAAAAATCCTTCGGAGGATAATAAGACATAGCAAATGTTTTAATAAAAGTTCAACCCTTTAGGAATACTGTTCATGTTAGCTGTGGCTATTAGGCTAACATTCCAATCAATGTGAATTATCTCAAGTTATTCGAATGCTTTTTGCAAGAGGTTTTATGATATGAATAATACAACAGATATGAAATCAAATTTTATTTTTTATTTTTATTTTTTTCACTTGTGTATTTGGTGCAGGGTCACACTACACAGTTCAGAATCATGGTGATTCTCCTGTTTTCAGCCTCCCCAGTGCTGGGATTATAGGCATGTGCCACCACACCTGGACTCTGTCACTGGCTCAGCACTCCCCAGGAGCGGGGCCAGCATGGCATGTGGAACCGGGAATTGAACACTGGTCCTTGCACTTGCCAAAACAGGCGTTTAGTCCACTGTGCTATCTTGCTGGTCCTTAAAACCAAGGCTGTTGTTGTTTTTTGTTTTTTGTTTTTGCAGTACCAGGGATTGAACTCAGGACCCTGAGCTTGTGCTTATTCCACTGAGCTATCTCCCCAGCCCAAAACCAAAGTTTTAAACTGGCCTATTTTTCAGTCCATCGTTAGCCCCCAATAACTTTAGAAAAAGAATTATTGGGTAAAATATTACTTTGGCAAAGCAAACTTTCATAGCAGGAAAGGAATAAAAAGAAAAATCTGTTTGTAGTTGCAAATACAGAAATTCATAATGCATTTCAAAAAGGGAGGTTGTAGCCAACAAATACTTGTGTGCTTGGCCCGCAGCATTTAGGGTTCTAGAGCAGATCTGTCTTAACAGGTCTGCGTGGGGTTCTGAACAAACACTGAATAGCTGTCCCCAGGAGTTAGGAGAGATTTTCAGGAGTGACAGACACATGAACAGGTCTGAAAAGGCATCCAACACAAGTAATTTGCCCATTTGATAAAATGGACGATCATCGGAAAACATTCAATTTATAGGCAGTATAATTTTTGTATAAAGTATAGTTATAGAATAAAATCTCCTGGGGAATCTCATTTAAATTCCCCAAAACCACCGAGTTCTGGTACAAAGAGAGGATCCCTCCCTTTTTTAGCAATGAAACAGAAAGAAAATTTCATTTAATCTCTGCTAGAACTTGTCTGAGTCAAAATATGAAAAAAAAAAACAAAAAACCGAGTGGCACAAACACTGGCATACATTTCGTCTTCACCAACTGCCTACATGGGTAGTACCTCGCTAGACTATTCTACGTGATTTTGGATGCATTTGAAACATTTTGAGAAAAATAGGAATAATATTATCTGTGTCTACATGAGCCCCAACTTGGCTCTCACAGGCGAAAGGCACCATGCCGCTAATCTACCACTAACAAATTCATTTTGTAAAATACAGAGGGATGCCTACTATTTCTATGATCCTAACAAAATTCTACAATGTACTGACCCGGGGTGCTGTGTTTACCCTTAGTTTAGTTTTGTGAATGCATAACTGAGGAACACAGATGAAACAAACAAAAAAGAATATGCTATTTTTTAAGACTATTCTATTTAAGATAATTTCAGTGTAACTCATTTTTAAAAACTTGAATTTCTACCATATATATTGAGGGTACAAATTATTGTCTTTGCCTTAAGGCATATACATGGGAAACTAAGGCATAGGTGTAGAAAGGCAATAAATAATAAGAGGGGCAAATTAGTAGTACTGGGCTAATTAAAGACTTACTAGCATTTCAGCGTGCAAGTGCTGTCTTAAGTGTTATAATTATTGACTCCTTTAATCTCACAGTACTCTAGGATGAGGCACTGTCTTAGCTCCTAGCCCCTTGTAGCAAAGATGGCCCTCCTGGGGTCTTGGCTAATTTGAGATCTCCCCTGTGGAAGTGAAGGGGGCAGGAGAGGTGGCTCAGTAAAATAAGCGCTTCCCTGGTAAGCACAAGGGCCTGAGTTCAGTCCCTGGGGCAAAAGCAACAAGGCTCCTCAGAGTCACCTCCATGGCTAGCAACTTAAATGATGAGAGGAATTCAGATAAGGAAATAAAACTTTGGGCCTAAAATCTTTCTAAGGCTCCCCTTGCTTGAAGAATTCAAACTCTTTAGACTGGCATAGCAGTTTCTTCCCCACTTGCCCTTTACCGATCTCTCTAGCAGTATGCTATTTGTGTGGTTGACACTTATTTTTTAATGTCTATGGATTAGGTGTTTTACTACGTGCTAACCACAGAGCTATGAAAGCAGATGTAATATCCTGGTCATGATAAAAATTTACAACTTTGTAGGGAAAAGAAATATCAATGAGTCTGTAACATGTTCTATGAAGGTCAAGTGATAAATACCTCAGACAGCGCAGACCACATATGAATGGTCCTTATTGTAGATTCTTTTTTTTTCTTTGTTTTGTTTTCTTAACTCTTTACCAATGTAAAATAATAATAATAATCATCATCATCATCATCCCTGGCTCATAAGTCATATCAAACTAATCAAGATTTGGCCTGCAGGCAAATGAACATTCTAAACAATATATATTCTTAGACTAAAACAAAAAAAAAAAAAGAAGTGCAAAATAAAACAATCTCACCCCATTACTTACTGCTCCTTTGCATAGGCTGCCTTCTTGCTTAGGAATCCTATTCCATTCCTTGTCTTCTCTACCCAATTAGTTCTCATTTGGTCTTCAAGGCTGAGGGGAAAAAATAGAAAAGAAAACACCAACATCTTCCAGAAATTCTTTCCTGTAGCATATTGTGTCCAACTTCATTACCAAACTTCTCTCACTGGGTGGCAACTGCTCATTTACTTGGCTAGCTCTCCAATTAACCACTAAAAACTTGGGAAAGCGACCATGATTTATTTGTATCTCCAGTACTTAGCACAAGACCTGTCTATTAATTAGATTCTCAATTTCTATGCAAGTGAATGAATAAGTAGATAAGCACGAAAGGAGCCAAGGGAAGGAAACTTGCTGGAGAAAAGGCAGTCAGCCAAGGCAGGGAGACTGTAGAAACGTTCCACGCAGTTAAGGAAGTTTGTCATTTCCTCTGTAGGGAAAAGAGTCAATGAATATTAATGAGCAGGAAAATAAGATGATCAAAAACATGTTTTTTAGAAAAAGTGAAATGGGAAGTTTATGAGCTTTTGAGCCATTCAGAAATGACATCAAGTCTCAGAATTGTCACTGATTGACAGGATGACTCTAGATAGGGCCTTCCACTTACCTGATAATTAATAAATAATAATTTTATCAAATAGGTTGAGAATGAAATTGTTTAGATGAGAATTGTGTGGTAGGGTCCTGTCTTTACTATGAAAAATGAAGAGATAGAAGCTCTCTATAATTTAAAATGATGTTCTAATGTGTAAATACAATGACTGTTAGTACTCCTTCAGGACTGACTGATGTCAACCATTGTGCTTATATTTCACATGTGATCTGTTATTTAATCTACCTTTAAAAAGATACAGGTCCACACCTGCCCATAGATTTAATAGAGAAGCTGACATAATATTCGTTCAATGTAATCCAGGATATACATGAATCTGACAAAATTCTAACCTGTATTTTTAATATCTGATTTTGTTTTGGTTTGGGTTTTTTTGGTTTTGGGGTTTTTTTTGGGGATTGAACTCAGGCCCTTGTGCTTGCCAGGCAAGTGCTTATTCTACTGAGCCATCTCCCCAGCCTCTAATATCTGATTTTTAACTTTAGGACTTATAGGAAATCCAGGTGAAAAAGGAAGTAGAGGCATTCCAGGGTTACCAGGCTTGAAGGGCCTTGAAGGACGACCTGGGCCACCAGGACCACCAGGTATCGTGGATGCTCTAAGAGTAGTGTCATGTTTTATGCTTCCCTAGATCTAAATGTAATGAATCTTGTTTGTAGACTGCTTGGGTTGACCATGAAGCCTGCTACAGTTGTGATCTAGCAGAAATCCACTTCTAAATAAAACCAAAAGGAAAGTGTTTACTCATTGGGGTATATTAATTTCAAAATTTTAATCTCTAGGGAGTTTCATTTATCAACTCAAAATTTTATTTTGAAATGACAGGTATGTATTGCAGATGATATTTTATCACAATATAACATATCCAAGGTGAAATTAATGCTTTAGGAGTTTTCAAATTCGCTTGCCTTTCTAAAAACAAATTATTGAGTTTACAAAATAATTTTTTAAACTACTAAAGTAGTCCCTCATTCCCTAAGCATGTCAGTAATAATACTACAAGACAATAATACGGCAGTAGGCAGCAAGAAATACATCACTGTGAGGTCATGGAAGCCCACCCTTTCCTGTTGCTGTTGGTCCTAGGATGAATCTGAAGTCCAGGCCTGCCATGAGAATCTCACTTTCTCTAGACTTAGATGTACTGACTCCCAGTCTTCACTAGATCTAAAGGCAAAAGGACAGCTAGCCGAGTACCTGTACCAGTTGGCCCGGCTGTTCTGGATTCATTCATTCATGTAGGCAACAGATATTTATTGAGTACTACCATGCCCAGGAACTGTGCAGAGCATATGACTTTTTACTCTATTGGTTCTCAAGGTCCTAGAGGAGATCTGGGAAGCACTGGGAGTCCTGGAGAACCAGGACCACGCGGCATGCCAGGAAACACGGGCAACATGGGTGCTCCAGGTAATATATGCAGGAGGTACTGTCACAGGCCCACAAGCTAACAGAAGATCACAATTCCAGACACTGATATTGTTTTGATTTTCCACTTAGTAGAAAACTTATATAAGACAACCAGATTTGTTTTTTAGATAAAGGGATCTGTGTACAACTAAAATGTTAGTGAAAACAAAATAAATATTCCCATTGTGTAAAGAATCATCCATTATAACTTCCTAATGTATTTAGGATTCTGAAAACCCAATTTCTTGGGAAAAGGGCAGTTTATGCAAAGGCCTAATGTAGAACCCTTCAAAGATTCCTATGTTTACCTGTCTTGCCTGATATTTTTCCTATTTTCAGGTTCTAAAGGAAAAAGGGGAACTTTAGGACTCCCTGGTCTACCTGGAAGACCAGGGCTCCCAGGCATTCATGGCCTCCAAGGAGATAAGGGAGAACCAGGTTATTTAAAAGACACAAGGCCAGGACCTCCAGGACCAAAGGTATACAGGATACTAAAAAATTTGTTTTGACAGTTGAAGGTAGCCCTTAAAATATTAGTAAGCATCCAGATTCCATATGGGCAGGAAAAATGAAAACTTTACCATATTTTCAGACAATCATTTGGATTAAGAAAAAAGTCCTATTTTCATAACTGAGGGTGCCTATCACTGTCAATTTTGGAAAAACCTGTTTCAATCCCAAAGGACTGCTCTGTTCCTGCAATTTAAGTGTGCTTCCAGAAGGGGGCAGTGCTTACCCAACCACACAGTCTGACAGGGCAAGGAATTTTCCCTCCTAACAAAAAGTGACCAGGCTTGATGATGAACTCATCTCACAAGATACAATACAAAGTATAAAATAATTGTAGAGCAACATTAAAAAGTAAATGACATTCTAAGGTAACTACATTGATCTTTCTCACTCAGAACTCTAAGCATCTTCATTCCTTTTACCTTTTAACTCTAAGCATCTTCATTTCCTTTTCATCTTGCTTCGGTGTTTTCCGTACTTTTTCTCTGTCACATTAGGGTTGAGGGTCAAAGTCCTCTATAGTGCATCTTATGAAACATGAACCTGATGTTTCAGTTAAGGCTTGGTTGCTCTTTTAAGTTTTGCTTCCCTCCAATCTTCCTGTCCACAAGCATAGTAAGGGCCAAAGTCAGACTGACAGAGACTAATTAATAAGAATTTCATATAAGCAGAGTTTTTAAACACAGAATTTCATGGACGTCACAAGGAATCTGTAGTACCCCAAGAAACCCCCTAATCTCCTGGAATTGAATGACAAATGTATAGATCAGATTTTTATAGGGGGGGCCAGGGAGATGGCTCAGTAGAATAAGCACTTCCCTGGCAAGTGCGAGGGCCTGAGTTCAATCCCCAGTTCTGCCGAAAAAAAAAAAAAAAAATTATAGGGGAGAACCTATATTTTTCAACAGATATTCAAAAATGTATACCTCCAAAACCTAAAAGTTACGACTTAGGGAATTTTCTCCCTTTCTTTTCAGTCAATAAAATACTACTTTCTATTAAAATTTCCATATTTTCAGCCAGGTGTGGGGGTGCATACCTATAATCCCAGCACTTGGTAGGCTGAGGCAGGAGAATCATTTGAGTTTGAGGCCAGCTTAAGCTACAAAGTGAGCTCAAGGCCAGCCTGAACTGCATAGTGAGATCCTGACTCAAAAGACACAAAAAAAGTCCATATTTTCCAGTAGCAAGTGCCACAACTAGAAAGAAAAATTTTAGATATAGCACACATGTAGTAAGATACCCCCTTATTACTCAGAACAGACAAGTTTTTGCCACCTGTTCTATTTTTTAAAAAAAAAATTTATTTACTTTAATGAGAAAAAAACAATGAAACATTTTCTAAAGAGGTTAGTAGGACAGTTACAATAATTAATACATTACATATTGTTGTCTTTGTAGTAGGTATCACCCATCCTATTTAAATTAGGCTCTCAGAAAACCAGGGAGAAACTTCTTCCACTGAGATATTTTCTCAATGAAAAGTTCTATTTGACTTTATGCACAGTTAATTAGTAGTACCATTTAGATTTAAGATTTTCATAGGTAACCACCTTGAGTTTTTAGAACTGTGCATTGAACACAAAAAATATAATATAAAAGTAACAGTGTAGTAGATCTTATCAGCTACAGTGGAAATTTTATAAGTCACCCTTGGACCCTGTATATCCTGATTTTTCATAAAACTATAATATAGATTTAATCAATAGTAAATCATTGAAAGGTTTCCAGACATGATTGACATGCACGTATTACACGCATAGTATTGATAGGACATAGTATTCATTTGTTTTGTCTCTTATTCCCAGTCTGTCATCACAATTTATAATTACACATCTGTGTGGTTATTTAATATCCATCTTACTTTGGGGACCCGGCACCCTGTGAAGCGAGGAGCTGATACACCAGACGTGGGAGATGTTACCATTTTACTCCAGTGAGGGTCAGCTCCATGAGTAGGCTGCTTGTGTTGTTCAAAGGTCCAAAGTAAAGACATACCTGGTCTTGGTTTAATGCTTTGCTGTTGCTGTCTTGAAATCTTTTAAATTTTTAAAAAGGGAGTTGTATTTTCATTTTGCATCAGACCCACAAACCACATAGGAACTCAGTCCCTGACCCATGCATGGTACTAGCCCGCAGAAGACACTCATATGAATGGATGAATGAACGAGTAATGTTTATACTTAATTCTAATCACATATCCTGCTTACACGAGAATTATGAAGGTGTTTGCCTGAATTTAAGGGAGATCCAGGATTGCCAGGCGACGTGGGACAGAAAGGAGAAAGAGGCCCACCTGGCCTTCCTGGGCAGCCGGGACCTGTTGGACCTGAGGGGATCCCTGGGAGACCCGGAAGTCCTGGCCACCCAGGTGAGCTTGGCTTTACAGGTCTGCAAGCTGGAAGCATAACCTGCAGTACGGCTCTCACCTGAAATCACCGTTATAAACAGAAAGCTAGTACTGGGGAGACAGCTCAGTGGCATAAGTGCTTGCCTGCCGAGTGTAAGGTCCTGAGTTCAATCCCCGGTACCTAAATAAAAATTGATTCTCTATATACAGAAAGCTAGTTGTTCTTGTACTATAGTTGTTTTTACATAATTCTGACCTTTACTAAGACACCAGGAAGCAATTAATTAACAAGGAGGAGTATCATTTGTCTGTTGGGGGGATAACATCTAAAAACCCACCCCTATAAAGAAAATGTTGAAAATACCACCCCAACAAATTTGGCTTAAAGGCATGAAATGTTACTTCCTGCACAACCTTATGCTATCTGTGTGAGTCTGTTAGGCTTCCAGAACAAACGTCACAGACCAAGCAGCTTTACACAACCAAAATTTGTTTTCTCACAGTTTAGACTCTAGAAGTCTGGGACCAAGGTGCTAATAGGGTCAGGAACTCCTGATACTTTTCAATTTGACATTAGATGATCATCTTCTCCTTATCTTCCATGTCTTTACCTCTTACAAAGATACCATTCCAATTAGGACCTACCCTCATGCCTTCATTTTTACTTAATTTTTTACAATGTTGTCTCCCAATACAGTAACATTCTTAGGTCTGGGGCCTAGGACTTCCATATATGAACTTAGAGACAACACAATTCAACTCACATAGCACTGTTCTGAAACTTTTTTTAAAAAACATATTTCTGGGTTGAACATTGGTTTTCTTTCTTATTAGCTGACAGGCTGTGTTCAAGTTTTTATTGCATTTTATTCAAAACACCTGCCTGTATTGGATTGTCACTTCAGGTCTTAAAGACAGTGTTTAAGTATCTAAATGTGGAACGGATGTGCCGTTAACTTTCAGTTAAAACAGCAAGTGGACCATTGGAAAGGATTCAAGGCATCGCTGCTGAGGCCCCCTGGGGAAATAGCTGTCACCAATAAAAGCCTGAAGTGACATGTCTGTCACAAGAGGGATTCTTTAAGACCAGCTTGAACACAGTTGACTATGAGAAATGAGTGTTTCCTTCACTGTTGGAATCATTCACCTTTTGTTATTCTTTTTTCCTCTCTCTCTCTCTCGCTCTCTCTCGCTCTCGCTCTCGCTCTCGCTCTCGCTCTCGCTCTCGCTCTCGTTCTCTCGCTCTCTCTCGCTCTTGCTCGCTCTCTCTCTCCACTTCTAGGAAAGCCAGGTCCTGACGGTGATTTGGGGCTGAAAGGAATCAGAGGCTTCCCAGGCCCTCCAGGAATCAAAGGCCCTCCAGGTTCCATTTTTGTACTTCTCCTAACCCTGCTTCCTGGGGGAGGCACATTTTCTTCTGATGTTCAAGTCCGTACATTTACTGCTTTTATAAAAGGGCGCTCCTGTCGCTCTGTATCCAAATAGCAATGTGGGCAAGTGGGACTACACATTTCTATTTCATTCAAATATTGGCCAACCTAAGCATCCTGAAACAGTCATCCTCACGACAATATTAACCTGTGCATAGTTTTCAGTCATATTACTACAGTTCTAAAAGATTAGCACCTTTTAAGGCCTGGCCAGATAGCTCAGCAGACTAAAGTGCCTGCTTAGGCAGGCGCAGGGACCGAGGTTCGATCCCGGCATGCCATGCCAGGCTATTGAGACTGGGTGTGGTTTTGCACGCCTGTAATCCCAGTGCTTGGGAGGCTGAAAACAGGAGGATCACTACAAGTCCAATCTGTGTATCGAGACCCTGCTGACCCTATACAAAATACATTAAAATAAATATTTTTTAAAAAAAGATTAGCACCTTTTATAAAACCCCCACATTTCCCTGACATCCACACTAGCCCACTGTAGGAAATTAGTCTTCACCTTTAATACTCTGGCCTGGGTTTTGGTTTCTGTTTTGTTCAGGCTTTCTAGGGTTCCCAGGGCCTTCAGGACCAATGGGTACAAGAGGTGACCAAGGACACGACGGGATTCCTGGCCCTCCCGGAGAAAAGGGAGAAACAGGTACAACTTGCTCAATATCTAGGTTTTACTGATTTCATTTTAGGTAGAATCATTAGGATCGGTGTGTACCTCCATTTCTCGGAAGGTCGCGGACAGAACTGTATTTCCAATACGTTCTTGGTATATGCTAGGTTTTGTTCATATATATTTTTAATCGAATTAATTCAATATTAATATGCCCATATCATCTCCCTCAGGCTTGCTGGGGGCCCATCCAGGCCCAAGAGGGGATCCTGGTATTCCAGGTAAGCAGTTGTTTCCCTCCCCAGGCTAAAGATACACATTTCTAGGGACAGAAGTCCAGTCTGATTTCTAGGGGCATAACCCAGCGTTACGTGGGAAACAAACTTCACCTAGTAGGGGCAAGAAGCCCTATTGAGACTGCACGCTGCTAGAGCTGTCCTTTGGCAGCGGGTGCATTCTGACACGTGAATGTAGCCTGGCACTTGCCATCTGCTGACTCTCTGCTGCCCGAGCTGGGGTTGTGGGGCCCGCTGCCCCAGGACCCCAAACCCTCCCCAGAGCAGGCAGCTTGTTTAGCTCTTGTCTTTCTGCAACTCTTCACAGAACCAAATAATGAAGAGGACAAAGCACCAGCGCGTAGCTGTAGAATTCTGTGAAGGCTGTTTAATCATGACCATCACAGTAAAAGGAACGAATTGGAAACAATAATCCAATTTTCGAATTTCCTTCTATGGAAGTCCTTAAAAATAAAAAGAACTGCTCTGCAGTTGCCTTGCTGTTGTTGTTGGCACGGTTCCAAGGAATCACCTCCTAAAAGAGTGCCATGCGATCGCTGCCTTCCCCACTGGGATATCCAGTAGGAGCCAACATTACTGTGGCCCTCCCAGATTTCTGTTCCACCCCTACGCTGAATCCGCGACTCATGCCATTGTTCGTCAGGGGCCACCCAGTAACTCTTGACTTCTCAGACATGGCAATTTACTGAACATGCTATTCAAAGTACTGTTTTTATGTGATAGACCGTAAGTCTTCATTTCTCACGCCAGTGTCTTACAAGATTAGTAGCTTTTGTTTTGTTCCAATTTGTTTTGTTTTGGTGGTAGCAAGGATTGAACCCAGGTCCTTAGCAATGACTATATCGTTAGTCCTTTGTAACATTTTATTTGGAGAAAAGGACTCAAGCAGGGCCTGGTGGTGCATGCCTGTAATCCCAGCACTTGGGAGGCTGGGGCAGGAGGATTGCCATGAGTTTAAGATCAGTGTGAATTACAGAGCAAGAAAAAGAAGAAGGAAAGAAAGAAAAGAAAAGAAAAAAGAGGACTCACTAAGTGGCTTAAATGTATATACATTTAAAATAAATAAAATTATGCTTTTTGGTTACTTTTTTCTTTTCTTTTTTTAAAACATACTAGGGACTTAATCCAGGACCTTATACGTGCTAGGCAAGTGCTCCACCACTGAGCTTCATTCCCTAGCAATTCTGGTCATTTCTTTGATTTTGAGAACGTGTCCCACTGAATTGCCCCAGCTGGCCACACTCTTACTCCTCCTGTCTCTGGCTCCTGAGCAGCTGAGATTACAGGCGTGTGCCTCCATGCCCCCGCTTTTCCTCCATGCATTGTGTTACTTAATCTTCAAAGCTTAGAGTGAAAACAGGTGTTACTTTCACTTATAAAATAAAATCACTGAAACTTCTGACAGTGCGGCAGCTGAGCTGGGGCTGGTGACACATGCCTACAGCCCAACATGCTGGGAGGCTGAAGTTAGAGGATCACAAGTTAGACTGGGCCTTCTTCAGTAAGACCCTGTCTCCAAATAAAACATTTTAAAGGGTTTGAGGGTATAGCTCAGTACAGGCTTGGGTTTGATCCCCAGTACTTTAAAAAAAAAAAAAATGGCGGGGGGGAGGGGGCTTCCAGATAGCTCAGTGGACTAAAGTGCCTGCTTAGGAAGGCACAGAGACCAGGGTTCGATCCCTGACCTGCCATGTCAGCCCTGCCCCAGGGGCACACTGAGACAGCCTCTGAGACTAGGTGTGGTGGTGCGCGCCTGTAATCCCAGAGCTAGGGAGGCTGAAAACAGGAGGATCACTCCAAGTCTGATCTGTGCAGGGAGACCCTGTAGATCTTGTACTAAATACATTTAAAAAAGACTATGCCAGATCCTATAGCCAGTCAGAGGAAGAACTGTAAGTCTGTATTGTATTGACTAGTCTCTTTAAAAACAAAAAAATGTTCAAGTACTTACATTATTACAGATGGCTACAAACTAATTCCAACTACAGGAGCAGAAAAGGAACTTAAGGAGCCAAAAAGGAACTTATGGAGCCTTTTTCTTTGCAGGTACCAAAGGAGACAGGGGACCCCCTGGCTGGCCCGGCCTCCCTGGCAGGAAGGGAACCATGGGAGATACTGGGCCTCCAGGACCCACCGGAATCGCAGGACTCCCAGGGCCACCAGGTCTGCCTGGGGTAGTCATCCTTGGCCAAAAAGGAAACCGAGGCCCAGCAGGCTCAAGAGGAAATCCAGGTGAAGGGTTTATTTGACATAGAAGTTTTCGTCCTTCTCATCCTCACTGCCTCCCCTTGCCCTCTGGTCTTCTCTGTCTTTCCCATATCCTTTGCTCCTGCATGGTGTGCAGTTAGGCTGTTGATGCTGAAGCAGTGGCCTGTTTGAAAGATCAGTGGTGCTTAAATGAAAGAGACCTACACTGACTGAGCTTGTTCAATGCATGAGGCCCTGGGTCCCCGCACAGACCCTCCCCTAACGCACAGTCCGCAGGAAGCAGCAGTTCCTCCTGGGCAGGTGCTTGCTGGGCATTACCTTATTCTATCTTCAACACAGCTCACCACACACAGCAGGAGAAAGGCCAGCTGCAGCAACAATGGCTGCAGGGTTGGCACTTCATTTAAAAGGAACCCCTGATACAACCCTCAAGATCCCTTGCTGGCAACACTGACAGGTTCTTTGTGAATTCAGGTGAGCCGGGTCCTCCTGGACCTCCAGGGAGGCACGCCCAAGGCATAAAAGGTGACAAAGGATTTAGAGGCCCACCTGGCCCAGAAGGTCCACCTGGAATGGTAGGAGACATAGGGCCACCAGGACTTCCAGTGAGTATGGAAAATTATTTTGACTTATTATGAATACAAGATTGATGTATTATAGTGTCACTATTATTCATACTTATAATTGGAACAAGACTATTTGCTCTTGTGAATCAACTGCCAGGATGAGATGCACCAGAGGCAGGGCTAGGTTACCACCTGTGGTACACCTACGCAGTGTGTCTGGGGGCAGACAGAGCCCACAGGTTCAAGAAATCCAAGAATCCAGAGTTTAAAAGATTTAGCTTCTATGATGCCCCCTCAAACTTTGGTCTGTATGGGGCTAACCCCTCAAGCACTGCTATCCTCATTTATGTAGAGTCTAAACAACTCTAGGGCAGAAGAAAACTCTAAAGGATTTCACCCTGTTAATATGCTCTCACAGTAATTGTGCTATCCTGCGCACACCTATATTTTCTTCCCACAAGATACATTTTCATTGTTATGAAGAGCTGCTACTTCCTCCAATTATTTCCTACATGGATGCATACCTGGTTCTCTCAATTCAGTTTAACTATTCACCAATCGTGCTTCTGTTCTAAATATATCCTAGTTCATCAATATCTCCCTTTAAATTGCACCACCTGGGGGAAACACCCTTCTGAATGAGAACTTAGTACCCAACAAGTGGCTAAAATGAGCGAAAAGCTCACTGCACTGAATATCATCCCTTTAGAAAGGCAGAATTCTACTCAGGCCATTCATCTGCTCTGTCACCTCACGATTGCAAAGAATTGGGCATGTAGTCCATTTAGCTCATGTGCCTTTTCCTCACAAACTGCTACATGAAGCCTCCATAGTTTTTCTTTGTCTACCTTTGTGTTGTTGATATTTGCTTGCGACAGAACGGTTGACTGGTTCATTTAAACCCTTGTGTCCTAAAATCTTTCAGTCTCTCCTTCAAGACTTCCACCATATTCCCCAGCCTTTCCTTTGTGGTAATAATTTGTAGACAGCAAACACGAGAGAGAGAGAGACAGAGAGAGAGAGAGAGAGAGAGAGAGAGAGAGAGAGAGAGAGAGAGAGAGAGAGAGAGA